TCATTGCTAGATCCTAGGCTTTCAGTGCATTTCACTTTCTGATATGCTACACCTGCCTTCACTTAGGGCGACCTGGAGCTGTCTTTTGGGTCCTTGTATTGCTGCTGAGGGGTCTGACCCTTGCATTTGGAAGTATTCTATAATTATTAATCGGGGTGTATGTTCAATCAAAGACATTCCTAGATGCATCTGACAGCAGTTGTGGCCAGATTCATGCAGAAGATTCCAACTCTGAGCGCTATACCCGATGCTCGATTGACTGAGGTATATGCAAAACTGTGAAAACCTATGTTACCGGATCGGACGTTCGGGAACCCCCTGATCGTCCGGGATGTCCACTCGGACAACCGGGCCAAACGTCCGACCGGAGACTTCAGTCCGAACAGACATAAAAATATTTACCTAAATATTTTTATTTAAATTATTTTTTTTAATTTTTTTTCTGTGGATTCTTCTGCAGATAAGGCATATGCCCATAATGTTTTGTGGCATTTCGGTGAGTAGAAAAAAAAAACTAAAAATTGCCAAAGATGGCGGCATGAAAAATATGTTCTCCAAGTCTCTATTTCGTTTTTTGAAGTTTTTCTGTTTTTCTTTTCCCTGTTTCTTTTTATTTTGGCGCTTAAATATTATTCTTTGTTTTCGAAAAAAAATATTGTGGGTTCTTTGAGAAGTGAGGTATACCCTTATAGTTTTCCAGGCAATTTGAATTTAGCCAAAAAAAAAAGAAAAATCATCAAAGATTGCGGTGAAAAAAAAAGAGAAACCCTCCTCCTCCTCCTCCTCCTCCCCCTACTGTTCTTCTTCTTTTTCCACCTCCATTGCCACAGCCCCTTCCTCCTCCTCCACTGCCTCGTCCTCCTTCTCCTCCTCCTCCACTTCCTCTCCCTCCTCCTCCTCCTCCTCCTCTTCGTCCTCTTCCTCCTCCTCCTCCTCTTCGTCCTCTTCCTCCTCCTCCTCCTCTTCTTCTTCTTCTTCCTCTTCCTCTTCGTCCATCACCTATGCCCCCTCCCGTCCTCCTCCTCTTCGTCCTCTTCCTCCTCCTCCTCCTCCTCCTCTTCGTCCTCTTCCTCCTCCTCCTCCTCTTCTTCTTCTTCTTCCTCTTCCTCTTCGTCCATCACCTATGCCCCCTCC